AAATGAGCAACACAGTTGCACAAATGAGCAACACAGTTGCACAAATGAGCAACACAGTTGCACAAATGAGCAACACAGTTGCACAAATGAGCAACACAGTTGCACAAATGAGCAACACAGTTGCACAAAGAGCACCACAGTTGCACAAATGAGCAACGTTTGCACAAATGTGTAACACAATTGCACAAATGAGCCACACAGTTGCACAAATGAGCAACACAGTTGCACAAATGAGCCACACAGTTGCACAAATAAGCAACACTTGCACAAATGAGCAACACAGTTGCACAAATGAGCAACACAGTTGCACAAATAAGCACCACAGTTGCACAAATGTGTAACACAGTTGCACAAATGTGTAACACAGTTGCACAAATGTGTAACACAGTTGCACAAATGAGCAACACAGTTGCACAAATTAGCCGCACAGTTGCACAAATGTGTAACACAGTTCCACAAATGTGTAACACAGTTGCACAAATGTGTAACACAGTTGCACAAATGAGCAACACAGTTGCACAAATGTGTACACCACAGTTGCACAAATGAGCAACGTTTGCACAAATGTGTAACACAATTGCACAAATGAGCAACACAGTTGCACAAATGTGTAACACAGTTGCACAAATGAGCAACACAGTTACACATTTGTGCAACACAGTTGCACAAATGAGTAACACAGTTGCACAAATGAGCAACACAGTTGCACAAATGTGCAACACAGTTGCACAAATGTGCAACACAGTTGCACAAGTGTGTAACACAGTTGCACAAATGAGTAACACATTTAGCTCGTCCTCGTGTCAGGTTGGTTGGCATTCAAGCCTCCAATGGCAGCAGTGAAGCGTGATAAAAATGTATGAATTAAACCGAATAATGAATTAACATGATATTGGTCAAATATCACAGTTTATAATTTTGAGTTTATACAATTTTGACGCTATACAACACTTGGCGCGCAGATCAGATTTTTGCAGTTATGTCTCACTTTTTATGTACATTGTTTATTTCAATTTTATTTCGCGTGCATTTAATTGAATCATAACGTTGGTTTTCATTTTATAACTTCGTCATGTACCTAAAATTTTTTTTCTTGTTAATATCTTTTCTACATTTGCGTTCTGAGAATTTCGATAGAATAAATATTTTAATGTATAATGGAAAATCATACAGATTTTCTTAAGACAATTCATATTAAATCTGCATAGCACAAGCTAAACTTTTCAGATGGAGATTTTTTCGCTTCTATACACTTGCGCTCAACCACTATCACTTATTGCTATAATTAAACTCGATAAGAAGGTTCAGTTCCTGTCTCTTATACACATCTAGATGTGTATAAGAGACAGGTGTTGCTCATTTGTGCAACTGTGTTNTCAGATGGAGATTTTTTCGCTTCTATACACTTGCGCTCAACCACTATCACTTATTGCTATAATTAAACTCGATAAGAAGGTTCAGTTCAGTAACACAGTCCTTATTTAGCTATTGTTCGCAACCATGAGTAGAATCAATACACATGATTGAAAATTAATTGACAATTTATCAAATCAAATGCAATTTTTCAACTCGTTTCGTATCTTTGAGTAGAATTAGCTCACAAATGTGAATAAACATACAATTTGTTCTAATTTAAAATTTGAATATTTCTTCAGTAACTGCGACAGGGCATCTAATTAATACTTACCGCATTCTCTTGCGCGGAGAAATTCATGGCTTCGCCGTATTCTTTAATTGAGTCGCCGTATTCACAGCTCAGCCGTACCAGAGTCACCGTATTCATAGCTTAGCTGTACCAGAGTCACCGTATTCACAGCTCAGCCGTACCAGAGTCACCGTATTCATAGCTTAGCCGTACCAGAGTCGCCGTATTCATAGCTCAGCCGTACCAGAGTCACCGTATTCACAGCTCAGCCGTACCAGAGTCACCGTATTCATAGCTTNCTCGTCACCGCACGCCTCAGCACCACAGGAAGCCTCACCACAACCGACATGAGCCTGTGCAGCATCGCAGGACGAGGCGGGATTCACCAATCGCTGGCGATTGGTGGCGTCGATACGAAAATCTGAGCGAGTCTCGCCGCCATGTCGGCGTCCGACCAAGAATTTCTGGGAGGCTCTCTAGGCCGCCTCTAGGAATCTCTGCCAGCCTTTCTAGGCCAACTCAAGGTATTTCTGGGGGGCTTTCTAGACCGATTCTAGAAATTTCTGCAGGTCTTTCAAGGCCTACTCTAGGGAGCGGGGATGAAGACTTTCAGAGCCAGCCTGCCTCCCGGAAGAATTTTACTTTCAAAGTCCAGCCGTCGCAGGATTTGGTAAGCGGCGCTGAAGTCTCGGGAGACGGACTATCTATTCTCGGCAGCGATCCGCTGCAAAATCGAGTTGAAGGCGAACCTTTGCTCGAACGCCGACCTCTGAGACAGTTGTTGAGTCTCAGGCCTTCGAGTGGAGTTCGTGAGACGAGAGACTCCAACGGGCAACGTTTCTCATCCAAAAAACGCAAACAAAAGAAACGGAAAAAGAATAAAAATCGGTGAGACCTGTTTTTTATTTGATGTTCTGTTTTGATCGGACGATTTTCTGGCTTCGCTTATTTTCATATAAATCCCTTAGGTATGTAATTGTTTCCGCTGAGCATGGAAACGGAATGATTTCTAAATAAATGAGAATATTTGATTTCACAAATTAATATATGATTTATTTTGCGTTACACAAGTCAGAGTTTAGTTCATTTCGTTTCAAAACCATAGTTTTTTTCCAGCAATTATTTCCTATTCCTTTGTCATTCTGTATAGTTACGTCATCTTCATGTGTATTGCTGAAGCAAAATTGTGTTGTTTTTTTACTTATCTTTTTACCAATTGAATTTTCCTTGCATTTACTGTTTTTCAAGCAATGGAAACAATGTTTGTTCACAGTAATACTACGTTTTCGACTCCAAAACTTCCTTCCTTCCTTCCGCTGTTTGCATGCATTATTGACTGCTTTATTTTATCATTGACTACTGTAGTTTATTGAAGTGTACTTCTGAAACTGTTTTCATTGTGAGTTATTTAATTTTTTTTGTGTGCTTAGTCATGTTATTGCTCTTTTCTAAATATGTTTTCTTGTTTTTACTTTATTCCAACTCCGACACAACGATTCAACGCTGCCTTGATGCGCATGTCAACGCCCCCTCCAATGTGTCAACGGCCCCACATGACCCTGTCAATTCCCGTGCAATGTTTCAACGGTCCCCATGTCCATGTCAACGGTCCCCATGTCCATGTCAACGCACCTCCAATATGTCAACGGTCCCCATGTCCATGTCAACGGTCCCCATGTCCATGTCAACGCCCCTCCAATATGTCAACGGTTCCCATGTCAATGTCAACTCCCGTCCATTATGTCAACGGTCCCCATGTCCATGTGAACGCCCCTCCAATATGTCAACGGTCCCCATGTCCATGTCAACGGTCCCCATGTCCATGTCAACGGTCCCCATGTCCATGTCAACTCCCGTCCATTATGTCAACGGTCCCCATGTCCATGTCAACGGTCCCCATGTCCATATCAACGCCCCTCCAATATGTCAACGCCCTTCCTTGAGCTCTTTTCTTATTTCTGGCTTCTTGAGTTTTTTGTTTGAATCAAATTTCAATTTATTTCTTTATTATTTCTTTTAAATAATTGTTTTTCATATTTATTATTTTTTAATTCACTCATAATCTGTCTTTTTTGATAATATCTTTACTGACTATAATCGTATTTCACGAAGTGAATTTAATGAACGTCTATTCTTATCCACCTGTCTAACTTTTTATTCCAATGTTCCGCTCGATCATTGACTTTTAAATGACTTTCTGATTCCTACTTTATATTTCCATCCCTTGATAACTTACTAAAATAACTTACGATTTAACAACGTGTCTCGATAATTTCAATGAATCAATACCTACAATGCTATTTTCATGTTTTTTTGCCAAAACAATTGTGTATTGTAACATAACATCTTTGCCGATTCGCTTCAAATTGTATCCATATTGAATATTATTAACTCAAACGGTGCATTATTACTCTAAATTGTTTAAATTGCATACGAATTTTTATACTTGATTCAACAGGCTCATATCATCAGAAATAAACGATGTAATGTATTCATATTCGGACGATTCTAGGCGCACTACCGACTCTGACGAGTTAACCGTTGACACAACGTCAACACGAACCGTTGACACGACGTCAACACGAACCGTTGACACGACGTCATCACAAACCATTGACGCAACGTCAGCACGAACCGTTGACACAATGTCAGCACGAACCGTTGACTCGATGTCAACACGAACCTTTGACATGACGTCAGCACGAACCGTTGACTCGACGTCAACACGAACCGTTGACATGACGTCAACACGAACCGTTGACACGACGTCATCACAAACCGTTGATGCATCAACACCAACCGTTGACACAGCGACAACACGACGCAGACTCAGTGGCGCACGACTAAACCAACCAGAACCCGAAGATTCGTTGATAAGATCTTATACTGGTGAAGAACAGAACGAGATTCACCACCACAACGATCACCAGCATCCCCAGGCTGCGCCCCGCACTGTTAATCACAACTATAAAATACGTCACCACAATCACAGACAGAAACTAGAAGACCAAATTCTTGATCCTCCTCTAGGGAATGACTACATCACGGGACCGAGACCTAGAGCTTTTCACATGAGTAGATCTAGTAACCGTTTAAATACATCACGTGTTTATATTAACGAGACACACACACGGCAAGGTCAAAGACCTGCGGTCCAGAGCCGCCTAGGTCCCCGTAACCGTATCAGGCTCGGCCCAGTCCTCCACCCAAGCCATCCTAATCGGCCGAGACTTCATGCGAGCGGGCAACCGACGGGACCGACTGACAGCCAACCTTTACGTAGGAATAATACGTCAAACAGTCACCGCCCTACGCATCCTAGACGTCCTTCGGGCGGATATTTTCCTGCCAACAGAAGGGCAGGAGGAGGAGGAGGAGGGTTGTCAGCTCGGGGCACGCGAAGGATCGTATCGAGTCTGAGTATAGGAGTCGTAGAGGACGACCACGCTGGAGTGTACAAGTGTGTTGCCACCTCCAGGGAGGGCAGAGCTGAACAACAAGTGCAACTCAGCGTCATTCCGCGTGAGTAACGAACGGGACTCGGGGTTAATGAAATACCTCCGCCTATAAAGGGTGAGTAAATGACGTCACATGAATGGAAGGTTCATAACAAATCTCCACCAAAAATGTATGGTTAATGAAAGTCTAGTCGGTAGGAGTCGAGTAGCTATTCCAAACTACCGTCAGTCATGAAAAGATCCGGTCACATGACACTATTTTAGATCTCTTGTAAACAAGGCACGAAAAGGAAAAGAATCGGCGACAGGCCACATCTGGCCTACTATCCAGCGCCGACATCACTATGTTATGCTGTTATGTTAAATATCTCCGACTAAAGGGTGAGTAATTTGTGATTAAATGTCCGCCAGAAATGCGATTAAATAACTCCACGTTAAAATGTGTTTAATGACAGAACCCTGCCAAAAACGTGAGTAAATAACAGCTCTTAAAATAGGGGTTTAATAGGAGATAAGAACCCTGCCTTACATTGATTAATTAACTACACTCGAATAATGGCTTCCATAACAAAGAAAATATTTCGAAAATTGATTCACATGTACGTAATTTTATCGTGGTCGTGTCCTAAATTTTTTATTGCCAATCATGGAATCGTCCTCGAAACGTTCTCCTAAAATTGTTGAGTTATAACATTTTTCCCAAAAAGAATTTAAAAACAAAGAAATCTCCAAGCAAATTCACCATATCGACATTGAAAATGTTTTCAATATCGATATGGTGAATTTACTAGGCGTTTTCTTTGTTTTTAAATTCCTTGTAGACTTGCGATTTAAGCAGACTGATGATATAAGTACTTTTTTCCCAAAAAGAAATATGATCTATCAATTTTCAAGTATCTATTTTCTATCAAGTATATTGTATATGTATCACCTATAGTGCCCACTGTTACTAATCATACCCCGGCGTGCCCGCAGCGCTGGACCCCGGGCTGGTATACCCATGCCCATACGACTCCTTCTGTCTCAACGGCGGCACTTGTATGTTCTTCAAGTTCGTCGGCGAGCTCGTCTGCCAGTGAGTAATTCATGAGTACAGCCTTCTTATTCATGAGTACAGCCTTCTTGTTCATGAGTACAGCCTTCTTGTTCATGAGTACAGCCTTCTTGTTCATGAGTACAGCCTTCTTGTTCATGAGTACAGCCTTCTTGTTCATGAGTACAGCCT